GAACCGCCAGCCTTCTGGTTAGCAGTCAAGTGCCTTAGGCACTATGCTACCAGAGCTCCTTACTGATTAGTGTATTCCATACTATGGATATACCACAATTTATTCGTCCATTTATTGGTTAATGAACATTTGGGTTGTTTCCACTTTGTAGTTACACAAGTCTTTGTAAACATGTTGTCCTATCTCTTAGATAAATATCTAAAAGTAAGATTGCTGGGTCATATAGTAAGAGTATGCTTAACTCTTAAATGTTTTTTAAATTTGGTTAATAAAAATTGGCTGGTGGGTTCAAACACTGACCTTTTAGCCAATAGCCAGATGCTTTAATCACTATGCCACTAGAGTTTGATTAATGAAAAACCATTAATGATTTAAAAGACACTAATTTTTGCCATGCAAATCGAAAAAGATAGAAACAATAATATGGTGAGATTGAGTTTAAAAAAGCTCTCACTACACTGCTTATAGTACACACTATCTATAGGGCAGTTGGGTGGTAATGAAACTTAGAAGTATTGATACTTTTTTGACTTCATAATTCTAGTCTTAGGAATTTACCAGAGAAATAATCACAGAAGTACCAAAGGTTTGCATACTGTGAAACTCGCTGCAGCTTTATTTATAATTATATAATAATAGAAATAAGTGAAAAATCTAATTTTAGGGGATTGATTTCATAAAGGATGGAGATTTCAACTTTTGAATAATGATGAAGAACTTGGAAAAATGGTTGGATGTAATGTTAAGTAGAAAACAGCTGTCATTGTTAGGTGCTATGGAGCTGGTTCTTACTCACAGCGACCTAACCTACAACAGAACAAAACATTGCATTGTCCTACACCATCCTCACAGTCATTTCTATGTTTGAGCCCATTGTTGCAAGCCCTGTGTCAATCAATTTCATTGAGAGTCTTCCTCTCTTTTTTGCTGAGAATGCTGTTAACAAGCATGAAATCCTTCTCCAAGGACTGGTCCCTCCTGATAACATGTCCAAAATACATGAGACAAAGTCACCATTATCTCTTCTAAGGAGATTCCTATCTAGAACATAGATAGGAAATTGCACAAGTGTGTGTGTTTGTGTGTGTGTGTATATATGCACACATACCCACACATATGGAAAAACTGTAAGAAGATAGACCAAATTCTAATAGTGTTTGTATTTGGGTGTCAAGTAATAAAGACTTGATTTTTTAAAAATATTTTCTTTTTCCAACATCTGAGTCATTAAACTTGTCTAAAGGGAAAAGGGAAGCCTTGCCATTGTGGGAGGGGCACAGCCTGGTAAAGAATTAGCTTCAGGATACTTAGTTAGCTATACGGACTTTAACAAATCATCTCACTTCTTGGGACTTCATTTTCTTCATCAATAAAAGGAAAGGGGTCAACAAAAGTAGTTGGTTTCACATCATGTTTCTTGACCTTATTAGGGCCACTGTGCTGGGAGGGGAAGCTCAGTGGTTAGATCTTCCTTCCTTTTTTTTTTTTTTTTTGTCATTGATACAACCATAGCTGCTGAAAGTGAGGATGACTTGAAGCACTTACTGATGAAGATTAAAGACTACATCTGCAGTATGGATTACACCTCAATGTAAAGAAAACAAAAATCCTCACCACTGGACCAATAAGCAGCATCACAATAAATGGAGAAAAGATTGAAGTTGTCAAAGACTTCATATTACTTGGTTCTACAATCAACATGAATGGAAGCAA